ACATAAACTGCAAAATAATAAAACTTATAAAGTCGTACGACTCATAATAATTAAAATGCACTCGCAAATATGCTCAACAACTAAGTTCATTTTTTTTACCAATTGTTTTTTGGATTTCTTATGATTGTAATCGCTTATCTGAAGGTATATCTGCTTTTAGTGGTGTACTTTTCCTATCATCATTTTTTTTCAAAACAATAAATATAGGAAAACAACTGAAAAATTTTTTAATTACTATAAGCACACAAAAATACAGTTTGTTTCTATTGGTAAACTAAAAGTATAGCAAAATGATTGGAAAACTGCTGCAGAAATGCTTATGAAATGCAACTTTTTTAAATTGTTTTCTCGATATTTACTGCTGTTTCTGTACACAAATGTTGGTCATTCCATGAAATTAACTTTATCTACAATATTACACGACTGTTTGAAGCTGTGAAGGCATTACCATGAGAATACTGCAGCGTCTAATCGTCCAGTTAATTTGCTAATATCAGTCAACTCTATTAAATTAAAAATCAAAAATACTGTACTGGAAATAAATAGCATACCGTATTGACTATAAGTTTTGGCAGAAGTCCTTTGAGATCAATAGACAGCAGATAATCGATAACAGTGACATTTGGATTATCCTTCTTGGGTGAAAATCGACCAGCTCCAAGCATAAGTTCACCCCTAAAACTTTAGCTATCCGTCCTTTGCAGAAAAAAAGCCTTCACACAATGGTTAAGACGCAAATCATTTTGCTAAAATTTGCATCAAACTGTGCAATATATCAACTAAGTAAATGACATATAATAAAACGCAACCTAACACATTCCTTTTTCACCGGCAAACGATCTAGCTCAATACTTTTCGCAACTGTTATAGAAACTCCATTATCCAATTTTTTGTAACCACGAACCAGTACAAAATCTCGAGCTTTAACCGCAAAAACATCCTTGTTTCTGTACTAAAGAACCTTACGAATGTAAGATAAATTAAGAAATATTGTATGTCAAAGAACTGCCTATTATACGCAGGAGAGATAAGTAAAAAGGTTTCAGTAACCACTAGTTTAATTATTTTTTTAAGTTTATTTGCTACTAATAGAACAGATGCTATTACAATTTTGTGAAAAAATAAATAAATAAGGGCTGAGGCAGCACAGAAAGAATTATTTAAGATACGTTTCAAAAATTAATTTCAGAAATAAAGTAATTAAGAAAGAATTACGTATGCGATGTCCATTTGATCTGTCAATTTGACCACCAGTTGAGAGAAAGCAATTGATGGATTCCACTTTGGAACATCACAAAAACCGTCCCAATAATCTTTGAGGAAAACATCTGGAGAACACTCAACTTCAGCCTATAACAAAAAACTTAGTGTAATACTTCACATTCGCGGCTACAAAAACCAGTTCAGTTATTAAAACTATAAATTACCCGAACACATTATAAAATCTTTATAGAAATGCATCTTGATAAAAACAAAAACAAAAAAATAACGAAAAAAACCGTTTAGAGCTGTTAATGAAAGCCAAAACCATTGCCATAACCTGTAAAGCAAAAAGTTTTCCTTCAGCCTCTTTTTTGCTATAAATTTTAGTTTCCAGTGGAGCACTTTCTGTTTCCATTTTCCATCCTTCTTTGGAATCAGAATCCAAACTCGAAAACAGCGCTTCAGCTCGTGAGATACCTCCATCTAATTGAGCTTTACAATTTTCCTGCTGTAATTCAGTAAAAGAAATGTGTAAAAAAACTAAAAATACTGCGTAAAAAAACAAAAAAACAAAAAACAGACAACTTTTCATCTAAAAATCATTCCTTGCCAAGTTTTTAAACAGTTTTAAAAATTAGAAAAAGTATAGACAAACAAGAAAGACTGCTGCAAAGTATCAGCGACTCATTTCACTAAAAGTTTGAGGACAGCAACGTTGCTTTCAAGAAAAAACAAACGATTCTTTCAGAACTTGTTTGTGAAGCTTCCAAAAAATTTCAAGCCATATTTCAATAAAGCCAGAAGAATAACTACCAAACAAAATTTTGTTTTTTCCAGGAAATAAAATATTGACTCGAGCTACTGCAGCTTTTTCAGTAAAAAATTTTAGGACATGTATCCAGCAACTTTAATGCAAATTATGTTAACCTCAAATTTTTGCTCTCTTTACACCTTTTCATAAGACCAGATTTCGTATTAAAGTGAACTGTTGAAGACTTTATATTCATGATATATTAAAATGACTGCCATGAAGTTCTAGATTTTCTAACAAAATTAATATGCTGCTTTCTCACTTAGGCGGCAATATCCAGATGTACATCGACGACAGAAAATCTTAAAAGCTTATGTGACTGTAAATTGCAGTTAAGAGAATCATTTGACCTCTAACTGAAATTAGTAATCTGTAATAAGTGTTAATACTTCTTCAGCTAAATGTATTGGTGGTTTTACAGTTCTGCTAAGAAGCTGCTTAAATGTGTCAGAGAAACTGTTTTTTTTTTCATTAAATTTAATAACACAGTTGTAAAAAGACAAACGTATAAAATTTTACTAACATAACGTTGCCTGTAAGAGTTTTGAATGTAAAAAACGACGAACATCTCCTCAAAAACATAACAAGTTTTTCGGTATTTAAAATTTTTTTCTTTCATGTTTTTGGAAAAAACGGTAAAAACGTCAAGCAAGTTTCATTGCTTCTATACCAGTTTTCAAGCACAATAAAGATAAAAAACTTAATGATATTGTAGGTATAAAATTTTAAAAAATAGGTAAGAAACTCAAATGATAACATAATGACTAATTTAATGTTAAGACCAGAAGTGGTAAATTAAAATCATGATAACGAAAAACAGTCACTCGAATATAATAATAAGTAAGATTTTCCTGAGTTGTTCAGTTACGAGTCATCCAAATTTAAATGCAGAAGTGTTAACAGACAATTTCTTTGACTTCCAGAAACTTGGAGTAGATTCCGCTCTTACAATGATTAAGTATTTCAAGCTTCAAAAAATGAAGGTGTCATTTAACAAGTCTGTAAACGATAAGAAAATGTTAATACACTTCTTCGCAGTTGAGAAAAAGTTTTGAGCAGCTGTAAAAAATGGCAAAAATTTATCTGCTGTAAACTGCTGTAACCTTCAATAAACAATTTGCAACTTTCAACTAAGTGCATTAATTGGCTGCTTCAGAAGGCAATGGTTAATCTGTAACAAATATTATAAGAGTTAGTCAAGAGATTGTTTAAAAAGCTGATACCAAAAAAAAATTGTGAGTTTAGCTACAGCATCTTTCAGCATGCCAGAATTACAGTAAACGTTTTGAGGACGTTTCATTTAAATTAAGTGTTAAATTGTAACCATAAATTTTAACAAATTTTAAACGACAATAAAAAGAAAGCTTCTTGTAAAGTTTAATTTGGTTTTTAGCTAGACCGAAGAACTTGCAATTAGGCTGGCTTAGTAATATATGCCAAAAAAGTTCTGTTCTAAACGCGAGAAAAAATCAGACGGAAATTTGCGGGAAGTTTAGTACAGTTGATGCTAATCGGTTTCGAAGATCTAATTTTTATACTGACAAAAAAAAGAACAAAAAAGAAAATGTTTGCTGAAACGTTGAATCCGTCTTATATAGAGAAATAAAAATTTAGAAAAACCTAAATCTATAAAATTAATAAAAAACTATTTTAGAATTTTATAAATAAAATTTTTTTATAGCAAAGTAAAAAGTTATGATAATTATAGGCAACTGCTAAAAACTAACAGAATGATACGATTTTTACAAATTTATTAGGCCAACTGTTCTTGCAAAATTTAAAAAGAAAAATTTGCAACTTTTTAAATTATGCAAAATAAAACAGTTTTTATACATCGTTTATAAAAATATAAAAATTTAATTAAACATTATGAGTAATAATAAAAATCATTTTTTGGCAGAAACCAATAAATAAGCTTTGGACGACAACTGTTGAACAGTTTCAAATTTTTTTCTTCAAAGTTTGTTTCTCACATCTTTCACCGTTCTTTTCACTTGCAAATTTTTTACAATTTTTAGAAAATAATTTTCATTTTCAAAACGTATCCTTAAAAGACGCAAAAAAAAAAAAAAAAAAAAAAAAAAAAAAAA